AATATAATTTATAAGATTGAATTATTTTTAAAGTATAAATTATTATAATTCTGATTGCTTGAATCTTGATATTCATTGTAATTTTTAGTCATATTTTCTTTGAACTTTAACCAAAATAATTTTAAAAAGTTAGTATTTCTATTTATAATAAGATTATAATTAAAGTAAATTAAACAAATTTTGCAAAATTATAATATAGTATTAATTATCTGTATTTTTTACAATATGAAGTAATTAATCACTAATTGTAAAATTTCTTATTATATAGTTATTATACTATAAGATATTTAATCTTCTCCAAAGAAAGTCAAATTTATTATTATAAATATATACTAATATCAATTTTTTATATAATAATAATAAATAACTCATCTTTTTAAATTTCTCATATAAATATCTGATTTATTAGTTCATAGTACATTTTTATATTATTTTACAAATATAAATAGAATAATAATAATACTTATAAATTCTTTTTATTTTATCATCATTTCAAAATTTTAATTAAAATATCAAACTTAAAGATAGATTCTAATTAATACTTATAATTATAATGAATACTTATTTAATTACTGCAAATTATTATTATAATAATTATTGCTATAAATATAATAAATATTATAAAGTTGAATAATCTAGCAAGAATAAAGCTATTATCTGTTTAATAAAAGAATGTAAAAATTCCTAATAAATACTAAAAAATGATAATAATAAGATAATTACAAGTGAGATTATAAAGAAAATAAATTGAGACAAAGAAATTATGTTGAAATTCTTATATAGTTAAAAGCAAATCCTATAGGAATTTATAAATAAATTATTTCTAAATATAAAAGTTACTTTTTTTTTGTTTTCTAATATAATCAAGCTTTTTAATTTATCTTGTATTTAATACTAAAAATTTAGCTATAAATAAGATTGCTCTCTCTATTTCTGTGCATGCACCTATTTTTGTATATACAATATCTCATAATTTTATTATAAAAATCTATTTTAGATTATTAATTAAATACGTTCAGAATAAAATTTTAGGTATATTTGTATTTTTTCAATAGTAATTTATAAAATGAGTCTATTTTCGTGTACTTAATATCTCAAAATTTTATAAAAATATATTTTACAAAGGATTAACACAAAATTGGTATTATTAATTATGCAATAAATTAAATAAAAAATAAATCTAAAAAATATATAAATGAAAAAAATCTAAATTTGACTAAGTATATAATTACAAAATATATAGGTACACGAAAATAGGACAGTATATTCTAAATTTATAAATTTTATATCTTTTATTATTTCTTTTTTTATATAATTTTTATATAATTAAATACACTAGTTGTTATAAATGTGATGTACAAAATTTTATAAAAAAATATCAACTATATAAATTATTTTATATATAACAATAAAAAGTGCACGGAAATAGGGCGGGCTACCTTATTATCCTGCAAATACATGTACATATAACGTATATTACTGTATAGAACACCCGGGTCTAAATCAATTTTGACAGACGAAAATTCTTGTGTACATAAGCTATATCTTAACTTCAATCATAATTATTATTAAATATAATATTATAAAGAATATTGATTGTTATGTTAAGCCAGTTTTGCTGAATTTGTCTCATCTTTCAGCATATTCTGGAGAGGGTACTTTATTAGGGGAATACACTATTAGGCGGGTATTTTATACAGTAATATACGATATATCGTAAAATGTCGTGAATAAGTGCCACTTTTTGGTTCTAAAAAAATGAGACGGTACTCGCTTCTGGACATTTCCTCACGGTATTACTAGTTGTGGCAGAAAAATTCCTCGATCACGTGATCACGAAAAATAACGTTAAAGGATATTTTATCGTTCGGATTAGGGTATAGGTTAGAGTGGATGACAAAATTATATGTAAAATTGTCTTCCCGACATTTTATTAATCCTTCAAGCCAGATTTTGACATTTTTTCCGTATTTTTTACATTATTCGCTTTTTCATTTTCTTGTGTCGGATTTGTTTTGTCGGGCTAATAAAATTTGCTCATTCTTATTGGTTTGCGCCACTCGAAAGGACGTTCATATTGGATTACGCCACATAACTCTCACGTGATCGAGGAATTTTTCTGCCACAACTAATCTACTAGTATTATTGAATATTAACGTTAATGCTTCCATTTTCGATTTTGGGATTACCGGTCCAGCAGGTATAAAAAATTCAATCAAGAAATTTGCAGAGCATTTCCTTATATTAGTCCGGAGATGTTTATACTGTAGTTTGGTTATGTAAGATATTATAACAGGCAAACGACCATTCGGCGAGCGTAGTCATGACATCTATAAAGGAATACGACCTATGATACCAAATAATGTTTCCAGATGATGCAAATATATTATTGAAACCGACCAACTGCTAAGGAACTTGACGACTTTATTAACTCTATCGTAAATTTCAATATCGACTTGAACACATTATATTTTCAGTACTACAGCTTTTTGGAATCTTCTAAGATACGCGAAGAAATCTTTGTGTCTTAAACTAGAGAGAAAAGATAAGTGTTCCAAATGAAGGTAAACTTGTGTTTTTTATTGACTTCATTAATTTATTACTGATTTTTCTTTTGGATTGCAAAATAGAAATTAACGAGGATGAGCTTTTTTAAGAATAACTACACTTCCAATATCATGCTCGTTACTAGATGAAACTGGTATTAATTTATATATGCGTTATCGTTATAGGATCACATTTAAAAGGATAAAATTTATGTCTTTTTAATTTGTTAGCATCAAAAAAAAATAACGTGTCTTTAGAAAGTAACGAGAGCAATGATAGAAGAACGAATTATAATTCATCAATATATTCATCCTTCCCTAACCCGAAAACGTCGTTTGTAGTTAACAAGTACAATTCCTCCTTCACCCGAAAATAAGAAAAGCGAAAGCAATCATATGCGACAATTTAAAACCACCACTTTTTTAATACGATCTCCTTATTTAAGCTTAATTACATCAATAATTTAGATTTCGATACATTTTTATATCGATATCATCAAGGTACTTGACAAACGGGTCTATAGAATATCAGTGTAGTATGGATGACCGGATGAGTATGCTACAGGAAAAAGCTTAACACGTTCCAATATAATGATAACACTACTACTGGTAGGATTACAGCATAACGATAAAACTATACTGTCTTGATTTTTGTACTATGCTAAATAAATCCTAAAATAATTTATATTCCGAACTCGACCCTTTTCAAATACAGTACATGAAATAGCACATGTAGTTTTCTCTATATAGTACTAGTATTATCGCATTTACTAATCTTCACCCAGGTTTCCTATTGGTTGAGTATATTAAAGATTGATTTTAAGGTTAGGGTTAGGGTTAGAGTGACAGACAAGATAATATGTAAAATTGCCTTCCCGACATTTTTTATTAGTGCTTCAAGCCAAATTTAAGCATTCGTCTTCACATTATTTGCACTTTTAATTTTCTTGTGTTACACGTTATCGTGCAATTTAATTGGTCATCATCGCTGACATCATCAAAAAATCATCACGTGGCCCGAACTTTTGGGGGTCGCCCTGGTGAATTTCGTCCAATAGGAAACCTGGGTGAAAATTAGTAAATACAGTATTATCGTACCAGTATACATTTATACACGTGATGCATACCATATCATACTGATATTCGCATTATCCTTGACAAACGGGACCTGTCATTTAAAAAAAATAAAAAATTATGATAATAGGAACTTCTGATTGGTTCGCCGCAAGTTATACTAAAAAATTTAGTGATTTGTTATTTAATTTTGACAATAATGAAGCCTGGGTGTGGTTCCAAACATCAATGTCGACGATAACTTTGTAATGGCTCACCTTTGCGGTGCTGCTTGTGAAAAAACATTTCAAGATATTGGTCATGATGTTTCTTTCTTTAAGCCTATGCATCCATCAGTGATTTAGGGATCTTTAGCCCCCGGCGTGGCTTGACACTCCCCCATCACTTCCAGGGAACAGAACGTCCTCCTGAAGATCCAGAAGAATCACAGGGAGGGGGGGGGTGAGAGGTGATTAACTAGCTCTTAAAAATTCCGTTTGTAATGTACACTCGAGACGAACATTTTCGTCCATGATCAACAGCATTAAATCCAGAAAAATTTATTTCACATCAAGCTATTGCTGTGCGTTGTTGAAAAGCACTTCACTTCGACTTTTATTCTTTTTAGTCAACACATTTATGTCTTTTCTTGTGATTGATTTATTCACATATGTGCAATTCACTTGATTTAGATTTGAAATGATTTCTAAAATCATGTCTGATAAGGTTGATCAAAAAAAAAACTCAAGGAATTAGTTGTGAAAAGAAAAGCTCAAACTGTGACAGAAGAGGAAGAAGTGGGAGACTTATCAAGATGTGAAAAAGATAATATTTCTTTCCAACTATTTTGTACTAAGCAAAAACGTGATCATGCACTGTGAGTTTTAGCATTTTTATCATTTTTATCATTTTTATGAAATTGTTTTTTTGTATACTTGCTTTGGTTTAGATCTTGACTCCTTCTCTTCTACTCTACAAAGATAACCAAAAGTCACCAAACACTATATCTTTGAACTATAATTTTTTAGTTAGAATTTAATGATTTTTAATGTATTGAATTTATCTTATAGAGATGAACATTTTGATAATTATTTTATACAAAACTACTGAGATATTTTATTTTAAGGTTATTTATTATAGTGTGTGTGATGACTTGTAATCACCTCGGTATATTGTGCTATTTATCGTGTAAAAAAAAATTGACGCAAAATTGTAATACTATACAGGTACTGAAGTCAACTAGAATTTAAAAAGAAAAGTAAATCTAAAAAAGATGAAAGTAATGACAATAATGAAGAGGATTTTGTTGTAAAGGATTATGGTAAGGATTTTTTTTAATATTATATGATTATCATTACTACTTTATTTATATGTAGTTACATTTTTTAAATAGAAGGAAAAATGCCATCAGAAGACCAAGCTGATTTCGAAGAACAAGTTTGTCAAGGAGTCTGAAGATTACAATGCAGTCGCAAATGAGTTAGGATTATATGTAAAATTTCCTCCCCAACATTTTTGCTTAGTGCACCAAGCTAGTATCCTCTTCGAAAGGTCACATAAAGGTCCATAAAAGTCTGATTTTCTTTCTCCGCCACCTTACTGCTTAAATTAGGAAGAACCACAGACGTCTCTGAGAATTTTCTCGAAAGAATGGAATAAATGTATTCAGAAAGGAAATCAGGATAGAATGATTCAAGCATGTATTTAAATTCTATATCCGTTGTAACAACAGCAAACGCTTGTTTCCTGGATAAAAGTGGTCACTGGACGTGTAGAAAGAGAGCAGAAACTTCAAGTAGCTAGCTAATCCGAAGAGGAAAAAAATGAATTAATTACCATTTTGTATGATGCGATGCTAAACTGGGTGTTAATAGCATGGCATGGTTGAAACGAATTTCTTTTGATGAATGGGTGGGCTCTTAAGGCTAATCAAAAATTTAGTAAAAAAGAGGCTGATAATTGGATAGGTATGATTTATGGTGAAGTTCTATAAAGGAATAATAAAGTGAACTTAAAGATGAAATCTAATACTCATGATTGTAGTGAATGTGACTACTGTCAAGAATATGAGCGTAGATCATAGTACTCATAATTGTAGTAAATGTAATCGTTGAATGGTCTAGCGGAAATAAAAATATCAACGGGAGGGTTTGAAAGCATTATTGCACGACTACGTAGGTGGTGTTATGAAAAAAAACGTAAAGAAATCGATTTTGTGTTAAAATCATTGCACAAATTATAAACGAGGTAAAAATGAACCATTTCTAAAGTGTAACAAATGCTTTTTTGTTTGCTAATACAAGTGACTCTTGTTATGACTATTAGTAAGATTTTCAAAAATTTACTATAACAAGAGGATTTATTCTAGACTGTTTGGACTGAACTTTACTATAACAAAGTGCACTTATCGTTATAATGACAGCTGCACTTTTGTTAATGTTAACGATAACGATAATAATAACGGTAACAGTAAATGTAAAATCTAATTTTAATATCGATACGTATTGTTTAAATACAAAAATTCAATTTCTAAATTTTTTAAAACATCTTTAAATGCGTAACTCCTTTAAGTGCGTACTATAAGCCAGTCCCAAATGTGCGAAATTATTTCCAAAGTATAAATAATTTTACAATACAAGTGAAACTTGATATAATATCAAGAGACTCTTCACTTGCATTATGTTTTAACCTCGGATCTCTGACAAAACTAATCTCACCTTCGGGCATATAAGAAACTAAATAGCATTGACACAAAGATGCATCATATTATAAAAAATAAATTTATTATTTTTTACAATAAGTTAATTCGAAAATTCTATGATAATAACAATGAAAAATTCAGTGAAAAAACAATATGAATCACTTTTCTAAGTTCTTTTAAAGTGATAAAGAACAACCGACCATAATTCATCATGGTGTCTTAATCAATACCTAATTTAATTAACAATAGGAAGCTTCCTACGTTCACTATGAGTCCTTTATATTAAAAAAGTTCCAATATCTACCAATGATTGTCCTTGTTGTGTTGTGGACAAAACGCGCGATAAGACTTCAAGAATATCAACAAGAACATTCATTTTGAATAAGTAATTTATAAGAAATGCTGATATTTATAATGATAATGGGTTTATATACTTGGGTTTTCAGCACATTAGAGATGAGTGAATCTTTGATTATTAAAATTTATTTATGTTCATTAAATGTGTCCCATCAATGATGTATTGCGCCATGTTTACAGGGTGGTAGATGTCGTGGTTGTGGTGGTTGATTCATTCTCTCGAATGTATACGGAAAATTCGAATGAGATCTCAGATATCGTAGGTTCTCAATAAGTCAAGGAAAAAATTTATGTGAGGAGAAAAATTGCGTTTACGAATTTACAATTTGTTAGATTGAGTGTGTTATACACAACGAAGGTTCACATCTCTTTATAATGAAGATTTAAAAACCCCTTTATTATGAATTATTAATAAAAAGAGTATACTTTAACGAAGAATTCACATTAATTTTAGTCAGAACTTTCACTGTGCATTTATAAACGAATAGTTGCTTACAATCAAACACTCACGAGATCAATGGCGTTCTTTAAGTATCAGCGCAGCAAGATCATATCATATCTGATGCGCTCATTGACAAAAATATACATGTACATACACATTGACTTGTATGCCAAAACTGTGATTTCGCAACCTCGTATGTTAATATATTGGCCTATTTTTCAGTTTATAAAATTACAATGGCAATATGAACTCTCGGAAAACACTCTCTAACTTAATATGATAAGCCAGTCTGTAGTATGAGTGGAAAAAATACATGTAAACGTATATACCACGTTTACGATAATCTTGATGCTACAATCGGATATCATGTCACATTTACCAATGAATAAACTTAATAGTCTTGAGGTTATAAAGCTTAAATTGCTTCGATAGAACGAAGGGTGGTGGTTTAATACGCATGTAGATTTAATTCGAAAATATTCTTTTTACATGTACATGTACATGTATATGTTTCGGAATTTGAATTCTGAAATCATTTCGGATTCCGGATTGACTTACGTTGTTTCGGAATTCCAAAATGACTAGGCGTTAACAACACACAACACACACACACACACACACACGCGCGCGCGCGCGCGCGCGTTTATCGTTATATTTATCGTCCTCGCACTGATCTTCCCATGACTTAGGGAGTAACGCAAACAATATCGATATCGATATATAAACACATTCTTACCTCAGAAATGATAACATGAATTCTCAAGAATTAGCGCTAGCTAGATATACTGAATATATTGAATTTACTTTACAATATAAAGATTCACACCCTCATGCATCCTATGAAGAAATGTTCAATGAATTTTATGGTACATAACATCTAAAGTCATCAAACGTTTGTGTTTTATAAAATGTATAAACATCTTTACAAAGAAGTAAATGCAAAATTTAATCCGTGAATATGCTCAGAAAGAGCCTATTCTATCATATTCACGGATTAAATTTTGCATTTACTTCTTTGTAAAAAAGTTTATACATTTTGTAAAATACAAACGTTTGATGACTTTAGATGTTATGCACCATAATATGTGTCAGCGCCTTTATAATAATCTATTATTAGTTTAAAATCATAATATAATTCTTTAGCAAAAATTAGCAAAATTTAGCAAAATACTAACAAGTTCTCTTAAACAAATAATTTTTTATAAATTGAAATATCTAAATAATTTGACCAAGTATAAATTAAAACAATTCATTTTTAAATCTTTTATTTGTTTGGAATTATTTTCTTTTATCATTATACAATAAAAACAAAATTTTCATTATTTATGGCACGCACTGTACATTATGTGTTGTCAGCTTACGCTTTTTTATTATGGTTTTTATTCCATTAAATGGTTTTATTCTATTGTTTACTAAAAGAACCAGAAGTTTTAAATATCTGTTAATAAAGATTAAAAATTTATTATAGAAAAACATTAGTTATAGTGAATGTAGCATTATAATAACTTTAAACATTTGGAAAACGAATGTAACTTTGTAAAATTTTGTTAGATTTAATTATAAAACGTAAAGTCAATTGTAAAAATGCATATGAAAGCTTAAAATCGAGATTTTGAAGGTGGGTTCTACTCTATACGTATTGATACTAAGCGCAACTTTTAATTTATTACTTAATTCTTTACAGAGTTCTTTTTAAGATGTTGCCATTTCTATAATTTTATTGCAATTGCATAAGCTGTTGGTGCGGCTGGTAATCGATACGTATTTTATTTCTATAATGTGCAACATATCATATCTAAAAAATTGAAACTTTTCTCCGTTCGTATATGAATTTAATTGATCATTTATTATTACGCATGTACTGAAACAATATAGCCGTAAAAATACCATAAGGAGCTGTATAAAGTATTCTCCAAATAAATCACCTTTTCAGATCTGGTCAGAAAATATGAGTATTGACACAAGTCAATTGTGAAAAAATCAAGTCTATTAGAAGCATCTATAAAGAAAGGCACTTTTTTATAAATTTTCCGAGTTTTTCTAGCTATATTTATTGAGACACAGAGTGTTTTGTTTACAGTTAATTGTTACGAGGCGCATACTGTATATATAAAAATCGATATCATGATTTCTTTTGTCAAAACACAATATGTATTTACAGTTTCGGCGGAAAGTAATGGCGGTGAGATTGTTATGTAAATTTTACTATAATAATAGCATTTTTTATAGAAGCAAATGAAGAAATAAAGTGTTAGATTTCTAGCAAGATACGTAATAACAATTAAAATTTATCGAATTATTGCGATTTTTAATTTTTTTTTAGTTAAAAAATGTTCAAGTTACAAAATTTTTAGACCATTAAATTTTGTTCAAACACGGAAAAGAGATCACATCAAGTACTATTTTAGGGGCATAATGCCCTACTCAAAGGAACTATCAAGATAAATTTCTTATATAATTGAATGAAATATAATAAGAAACTGGCCGTCATTACTTTCCGTCAGAACTGTATATTGATATCGATATGTAATTGTGTAATTAAAGTTTCTTTATTTGTAAGAAAAATAATTAAAGAACAGAAATGAAGTACGTAATACAAAAAAAGATGCTTTTACTGAATAATACGTATTACATGTACTAACATTTATTGTTATGTACAAGTAATTAGAGTTCAAAATTAGATGTACGTAATAGAAAGCTCCTTTTTGCTAATGGATCTTTCGGAAAATATTCAGAAGTTCCGTCTTTGTTCTTGGTAGACCAATTATGTAGCGTTCATCATTATGATACACAGAATAGAAATTTCCAATTTTATATCTGTTGAAAAATTAGATTAACCTTTTTTATACTCATTAGCATACCAAAATCTGGTATTCTTAATGACAATCCCAATTACCGCGATAAATCAATACGTATACCGTATATTCTACGATATCAGCATTCTTTGGCATCTACGAATATCAAAATTACGCTTAATATGGAATTTAATTTTGCAATTTTTCCAAATTCTACATTAAATGAAACATCCGATAATAATTCTAGAAAAAAACTGAATTCAGAATTGATGATTTACTGAAGATTTTACATAACTCTAAAAATTCAGGATACGATTTCGCTAGAATATCTTATTGTTTACGATTATCTTTCGATAGAAATATTTGGAATTCCATTGAGATTCAAAACTATTTACATGGTTCCGTAGACAATTCTCAATACAGTGCTCTTTTAGGCCTTTTCTACAATGTTGGTTTTTTTGAGAAAAATTTTGAAAAAACTTTTCAAAAATATAAAGAATCAGCATATAAAAATAATTATATTGCTCAATTTCTACTTGGAAATTGTTATGATTATGGAATTGGTACATTTAAGGACAAAAGTAGGGCGTTTAATTGGTATTTAAAATCTGCTAAGGGCGGAGATTCATTTGGTCAGTATCGTCTTGGCCAATGTTATATGATTAGAGGAGCACAAAATGAAGAAAACAAAGCATTTGGATGGTACATGTACTTCAAATCTGCTGAAAGTGGGAATATTCTTGGACAATATCATGTTGGTCGATGTTAAGAGAAAGGAATTGGAACTCAAAAGAATGGAAGTAAAGCCTTCGAATGGTATTTGAAATCATCTGAAAATGGTCTTGGTCAATGTTACGAAGGGAATCGGAATAGAAAAGAATGAAAGTAAAGGATTTGAATGGTATTTTGGATCAGCTGAAGATGGAAATGCAGATGGACAATATAATCTTGGTCGATGTTATCATAAAGGAATTGGGACTCAAACGAACGAATTCAAAACATTTGAATGGTATTTGGAATCAGCTGAGGGTGGAAATGCAGATGCACAAAATAATCTTGGTAGATGCTACGAGGATGGAATCGGAACTAAGAAAAAAAGCATTTTGAGTGGTATTCGAAATCATTTATAAATAGGCATACAGATGTACAAAAATACCCTTGCTCAGTATTATGATAATGGAATCGGAACTAAAAAAGATGAGATAAAAGCATTTAAATGGTATTTGGAATTAGCTGAAGGTGGAAATACAGATGCACGAAATAACCTTGGTCGTTGTTATCATAAAGGAATCGGAACCCAAAAGAATGGATTCAAAGCATTTGAATGGTATTTGAAATCAGCTGAAGGTAAAAATGCCAATTGACAATATAATCTTGGTCAATGTTACGAGAATGGAATCGGGACTAAAAAAGATGAGAAAAAAGCATTCGAAAATGGAAACACAGATGCGCAGAATAGTCTTGGCTACGAGAAAGTAATTGGAATAGACAATTATGAGAGTAAGTCGTCGTTCGAATGGTATCTTAAATTATTTGAAAGTGAAAATACAGATGCGCAAAAAATGGTCTTGGCCAATGTTACGAGAAAGGAATTGGAACAAAAAGAACATGTGAATGGTATTTGGAATCAGCTGAAGATGAAAATGCAGTGCACAATATAATCTTGGTCGTATTTGAAGTCATTGAAAATGGAAATACAGATGCGCAAAATAGTCTTGGTCGATGTTATGAGCAGGGAATCAGAACAGAAAAGAACGAGAGTATAGCATTTGGAATCAGCTGAAGATGGAAATGCTGATGGACAGAATAATCTTAGTCAATGTTACGAGAATGGCATCGGAACTCAAAAGAATGAGACTAAAGCATTTGAATTGTATCTTGAATCAGAACACAATAAGATGAGAAAAAAGCATTCGAGTGGTATCTGAAATCAGCAAAGGGTGGAAGCGCATCTGGACAATTTAAGCTTGGTCGATGCTACGAGAATGGAATCGGAATCCAAAAAGACGAGAAAAAGGCATTTGAGTGGTATTTGAAATCGGCTCAAGGTGGAAATGCAATTGGACAAAATAATGTTAGTAGAATTATGAGTACATAGTACATGTAATTAGAAATTTATTGAAATTTCAAGAATTTGGGTTAGCATTAGTAGAGTCTGCATTATCACGTTATTCATTTTAATATAATATAATAAGTTATTTATATGTATACATGTAATTGTTGTTTTCAAAATTAGTTTAGCTGGCAAGGTTTCGAAATTTACTGTAAAAATTTGTAACATATTAATATAAAATAACATTTAGTTCTCAAATTAAATTCCGAAAAATTAGAGAAAGTAGCGTTAACGTTAGCTAATACGTATCGGTATGGTGATTTATGGAAATAAAAAAATGGAGGTGCCCGTTAAGCCGGCCGGACGCTCGATAAACCCGTGGTTAATTAAAATCCCCGGATTGGTCTATAACGATAATAAATTTCGTTTGAAAAACTGAATTTTTTAGTGGCTGTGTATACTGATATACAAATTAGGAATCATAATACAGAACGGTAATTACCGTTACGTACATGTAATACTGTACATCGATATACATGTACATGTAAATGCACGGTTTTTTATGATTTTTATTTAATTTATATATGTATTAATAATACGTACATGTAATTTTGATTGTGTAGGTAAATACATGTACTAATTTTTTTTATCATACTAAATTGAACCTATAATAATGATAAAGCACGCTTGTATATTAATTGATATTGACCAATTCATACATAATCTTAGGGGAGTGACAGATATCATCTAACGCTAATATTTTTGGGGGGAAGGAGGAGGGTAAGAATAAATCCAGGTTCTATAAATTTATTATATTCTATCTTAGGAAGAAAAGGGGTGAACAATAAAATAGATATCAACTAATATTTGGCACGCCTATATAAATAGTAACTCTATTTACAATCACAAAATAAAGGAAAAGGAGACAAATTTGTATTTAAAAAACAAAATTAAATGAATCTTGAAAAGTGTTCAACAAAGAAAAGATAATATCATAATAAATGTCGCGGCTGATGCTGAATTGACCAATGAAATCAGAAAATAGAAATTGATCAGCCAAGATTTCGTTACATCGTCATATTATTCTTAAGAGAAATGTAATTCGAACAACTTGTTCTGCCAGAGCTTGCACAACTTGATTACACAATTAGTTGATGATGAAAACAGTTGAATTGCAATATCTAATTGATAAATATTCTTTGTACATAGGAAACAATATCAAAAAGATTCATTAAGAAAGAAGAATCAACTTTATCATCAATTACATTTTTCAAAGTATCAATTTATTAGCATATACAACAAACCAATGAATCGGAAGTGAAAAAGATCCAATATGATCAGCATTTTTCTAGTTACGTATAATGAAATTTCTCTTTAATAAAAGCGGGATTTAAAAATTTTGAATTATAGCAGGGCTCGAGTTGAATACCATTTAGCATTGTATATAGTATCCCCCCAAATAATAATACTCTCCCTAAATATAATACCATCTGTAGAATATATATTATTTCCAAATATAATACCCGGTTTCATACACAATACCCCACGGGTACTACGTATTCAATTTATCAACTACAATTTTTGAATAAGACACTGGATATTATATACAGTGCTAAACAGTAATGTTTTAACTATTCAATAAGCGCTATATTATTAATTGTTCATAGGGAACCCACTAAACCCATGTGTTTTCGCACTGATTCTGAGCTCGCTTAATACATGTAATTTAATCGATTTTGTTATTATTGCTAGCCCATATGGATATGTACGAATTACAAGTACATTTTTTTGATGCTTAGAACAATTTAAAAATGGTCCAAGTTGACGAATGATGTGAAAAAAGAATTTATTTGCAATTTGCATATCGATATCATGTACATGTAAGTAATTAATACAGAAATAAATGTCCTCCGCATCGTACGTAGTAATAATTTTAGTTCCAAAAAAACGGTGTGGAAAGATCATATGTCAATAACAATCATATTAGGGTTTATTTATAAATTAATTTTAACAATATATTTTGTTTGATCTTTTTGGTCCTCATTTAATGATTTCTAGATTCTTTCTCTTTAAGTATATTCATTTAGTCATTTACCGCATGGCATGATACGTAATTTAGCTCCGATCCGTTTTGCCTTTTTATTTTGCTCCATAAAATATAGATCGTTATCTTGTTGATTTCAGATGAAACTTCCATCTATATAGAGGCAAATAAAAGACTCGAAATAATGTAGCGAATTCTTAAGAAACGCCATATCCGTAATCAGGCTGTGTCACCACTGCATTGATGATTCTACGGAGCAGAGCAGAGTCTTCCATTTTACAGTTTTCTATTTGGAAAATCTATAGAAAAATTTATAAAAGCTAAGAAGTTTAACGTTAACACATGTATTCTCGATATTTTTATGATTTCATCTTTAAATCACATTGATTTTCGCGCACACTTATTACTATACAATAAATTATTCTTTATTGTTATTATATTCGTCTTTAAACTAATCATCATCTTTTCCCACGCAATCATCAACATAATCACCAAATAACGCGTGCGTGTCAACCTTCTCATAATAAACCGCAATATATATATATAAAAGACTCGTTTTTGCTTAAAACAGCAGCAATTGCAAAATTAAAGATGAATCCTTACACATTAACAAAATCACCACCAATAACGACAATAAATCCAACTAGCAATTACAGCAACAACCATAATAATCCCAGTTCCCCATTATTTTTTTTGTTTCCTTCATCAAGAAAGCAAAAAAACCCAAATAATAAGCAATCTCTACCTCGTCACAATCCAAACACGAACATAACCGATCGATCTCCACTCTTGAATAATAATAATTGCTGTTCTTATAACAATAGCAATAATAACAATAAGATTGTCAATAAGAATGAACCTGAACCAACGACATATTCATCCATAAAAACGTTATTATCTTGTTCAAAATTCAATTACTTGTTGGTGTTTATTCCTTTTGGAATATTCGCTGGTTTGTGTGGATGGTCGGATTCTTTGGTGTTCTGCTTGAATTTTATGGGGATTATTCCATTGGCAAATTTACTGGGTTTCGGTGGGTAATTCAGATAACATGACGATTTTCTTTGTTTTTCGTTAATTAATTGTTTGTTTACGTGAATTATACAGCAACGGAAGATATTTCATTACGTCTCGGTAATACAATTGGCAGTTTATTAAATGCAACTTTCGGAAACGCCGTCGAGTTAATTATTTCTGTGGTCGCTCTAAACAATGGTCTCATAAGAGTGGTGCAAGGTAAAGACGGAATTACGCATTTCATTTCATCTCTTTTCTTTTATTCGTATTAACATTGATCATGGTTTTTCATATTTTCAACCAAAAAATAGCTTCAATTCTTGGATCAGTATTATCAAATTTGCTATTAGTCCAAGGATTTTGCTTTTTCCTCGGTGGATTAAAGTAATTAATATTTCAATTTTTCAGTTTCCATCAACTCTTAATTCTTTTGCTCAAAAATTTTCTTTCGATTTAAAATAATATACAGATACTCGGAACAATCATTCAATGTCACAGCCGCACAAACCTCCTCCTCTTTGCTCGCTCTGGCCATGCTCTCATTACTAATTCCGGCCGCATTCTATACCTCGATAAATAACGAAGAAGCAACCAAGGGAATCTTGAACCTAAGTCACGGTACCGCGTTAGTGTTATTAGTGATTTATATCATGTATTTGGTGTTCCAACTTAAAACCCATTCTCATTTGGTATGCTTTTTGCTGTTATTTACGATTTATTGTTGTTTAGTATTTGGGTTATGTTTTTGACTACTTTTGATTTACTTCTTTTTAGTATGAAGGTGAAACTATTGATGATGATGATGATGACGAATCTCCACAAATGACTGTATTTGTTTCGATTTCAAGGTAATTTTTGGTTCAACTAATATCTATCTTTGATTAATTAATTATACTAACATTTATTAATTTAATAACAATAGTCTTGTAATTATCTCAATTATTGTGTCAATATCTGCCGATTACATGGTTGGCAGTATAGAAGGATTAGTCGATACTTGGAACATCTCGAAAACATTCGTTGGAATCGTGTTAATACCGATTGTTGGAAATGCAGCAGAACAGTAAGTTTTTTCGTATGAGTTGTAATTTTGTCTAAAATTCATTATTGATTTTGTTGCTTTTTCTAACATATAATAGCGTGAGTTCAGTGACGTTCGCATTGAAAAATAAAATGGATCTCTGTATTGGTACGAATTTATTTCCTTCATTTCTTATTCTATACGTTTAATTCTATTTTACTCATCCATTCTCTGTTCGTTTTTAAATGGATAAATAGGCGTCGCAATCGGCTCGAGCATGCAAATAGCACTCGGCATGACCCCGTTGCTCGTCATCCTTGGTTGGATCCTCGGGGAACCACTAACCCTATTTTTCGAGAGCTTCGAAACGTGTTCTCTTGTCGTCGCGATACTAATTGTCAATTACTTGATTGCTGATGGAAAGTCGAATTGGCTTGAGGGTGCTATGTTGCTGGTGATTTTCTGTTTTACTCTTGTATTTTTCAATTACGCGAAATATATAATAAATGCTGATTATTTGTAATGTTATTTAGGCTTCTTACGCAATAATATCGATGGCGTTTTTCTTTTACCCGGACGACGAGCGACTGAGCGTTATTCCAATTACACCCACGAATATGTGAAATGCTTTTTATTTACACCTCTCCCTCCCTTTATTATGTTATGTAGTTGTGATTTTATTTTTATCGTTATCGTTATGTAAATACTTGAATACGTAATATACATGTACTAGCCTTATATCGATATGGTAATACGTACGTACATGTAATAATGTTATCGGCTTAACGTTAAAAAGCATCATCTTGAAAGCCATGGCTTGCTTAACGTTAATGTAGACAATCCAATCAGAACAATCATTTTTCTAATATTTATCAAAAGTAAATACATTTATTTTGTTGTTTTGTTTAATAGAAATCAAATCCAGTTAGAAATTTGTATAAAAACTTTTCTAAATCTAAGTACATACACTTGTTTGTATAAAAAGTTTTCTGAATCCAAGAACATATACAATGTAATTTTAATATTTAGAATTTTATCTTTTATTCTAGTTTGTAGAGTTAAACTTTTAAACATATATTTTATAGTGCCAGTTCAATTATTATATTATATAATATTTAATATATTAATAAATTTATAAAAATATTATTGGATCTATAAAAATATTAATTTTTCAAAAAAAACAATTTATAGGAAGATAAAAAGGAAGCTACTAAATGAGATTTATTAATAATCATAATTATGTAATAGCCAAGATGGACTTCTGAATTGTTTTTTGAAAAACAAATAATTTCAGATTTAATTCAGTATCAAGAGATAATTCTGTTAATAATAATCAATACTCATTCTTTATTGTATATAATTAATTAGATAAATATAATAATTAAAATATAATTATTCAACTGTAACAATGTGCATAGCTTAGTGTTTCGGGCGAAACTATTTTTCAAAATCCGGAACGTGAACGCCCTACAAGTACGCCAAAACCCTAATTTGGAATATCAAAAATTTGGACTCGTCCGAAACACTAGCATAGGTTATCATAAACGAATAGAGAATATACAAGAGATTGTGTCCCTTCTTTGTTCTTAACGCATTAATTTGTAGTTTGCATAACTCCTATTTCCAGCATAAATTTTCTTCAAGAAGTTCGGATTTGATGAAAATATAATTATTATGTGAATCGATTCTCCTCAAATGACTTGAATCAAGTTTTCGAAATTACCACACCAAATTCACTTATACACTAACTTCTCATGACTTTGGAAGTAAATATGCATAAAGCATTAGTATTTATTTCCGCAAGTACGTACACAGCACATGTACGTACGTATTTGGTTGCAATGCCCAGCTAAATTTTGTGACTTGCTCGGTTTTAATGACATGTACATGAATATGATACGTATTCTATAAATAAAATTAATTGATAAGTAATAATGTAACATGTAATACGTATCAAATTTATGTATCGTACGTAGTCTCATATCGAAAATGATTAATTAGAACAAATTTTTGTGTAACATAAAACATGTCAATATATATTTTTAACAAAAATTTAATAACTTGATTAATAATTTTTTAGTTTTTTAAAAAAAGCTCTATTACTTTAAAATATTGAATCTATTAAATAGTTGAGCAAAATTTTTAAACAAGTTACGTAATATGCAAATTATTGAGGAGATACAATTTAAATATGGTAATTTTATATAAATAGACTGAAAAATTGTCATATTTCAAATTGTATTTCTCAATAATTTACATATTAACTTGTTTAGAAATTTCGCTCAGATATTTAACAAATACTATATTTTAATGTAATAGAGAGCATTTTTTAAAAAAACTAAAAAATTATTAAATCAACTGCGGAAAATCAAAATATTTTAGCTGCTCCATAAGCCAATTTTAGACGCTGGCTGGTGTGTGTAATCGTAAACAATAACTGACTGGCCAAATTACATTTTTGCTATTATGACACCGAATTTACTTGACGTTAACGTTAATTTAATTTATAAGTCTTTGTTCCACCACTACTAGCGCCACCACCTTTCGTAACAGCTTTATAGATTTCGAGTGTTTTTTCACGCGCCGTTTTATGGTCTACTATAGGAGTAGTATATCTATGGTTACGAGAATGAATAAGTTGTTGACGAAAATAAATAAGTTGTTGAGAAACGCTAAATTCAATCAGTTTAATTGTGTAAAGAAGGACATACTTCAACTTAGCAAATCGTTTGGGTGAGAGTGACCCAGAAGGATCATGAATTTCATTGGGACCCAGTGAACTTAATTCTGGGACCCATTTTCTTATGTAGTCACCATTCGGGTCAAACTATACATAAAAAGGTTTTCAACCAATAAGATCTTAGAAGACATATATACGCGTAAGTTTAAATGATACCTTTTGCGATTGAAGTGTTGGATTGAAGATCCTAAACCATGGCTATTTTAAAATAATAACAGAAAAATGCGTCATATGATAAACAAAATTAAAAGATTCAAATAAATAGTACCTGTGCATCCGTTCCTGTTGAAGCACACTATTAAAATAAATTAGAAGATAAGAGGATTGCGTACTTATTTTCAAACGACGATATGATAATTTTGTTATTTACCCATTGCCAACCACCATTATTACTTGCGAAATCGCCGTCTATTAGATGTTGCATGAAATATCGTTCGCCATCTTGCCAATTTACCAATAAATCTATTACATACAAATTTTTTGAAAATTTAGTCAATTGTTCTATGGCCATTATCAAGTCACATCGTCAAATAATAAAAAAGTCAATTACCTTTTGTCAAAAACATGGCAGTAATCATACGCACACGATTATGCATCCAACCTGTTTCATTGAGTTGTCGCATGCCTTTACCAATAATAAATAATAAGAATGCTGACAAATTTGAAAATTCAAGAATCTCATATATGTAATAATGAAAAAAAAATAACCTGCATCGACAATAGGATACCCTGTTTTACCTTCACACCATCTACGTAGCCTCGCCGGATCATTATTCCACTCAATATTTTCCGTTTCCAATTTATAAGGACGGTTCATACAAACATACGGAAAAGCAACAAGAACATGACGATAGAAATCACGCCACGCGATTTCTTCAATCCACGTAGTTATACCAATATTTCCACATTGGAGTTTATTCTTGTTAGCGGCACGCGCAGCAACTACACATTGTCTTGCAGATATGACGCCCGCAGCAAAATACGCAGATAAAGAAGAGGTACCATCTATGCTGGGAATGTTTCGTGCTTCTTTGTAATTTTCTATTCGTCCCGAGATGAATGTTTGTAGACGTTGATGGGCGGCATCTTCACCTGCTGGGAATTCAGTAGAAGCTCTCTTGGATTGAGCTGTCAATATTTGAAAGCCTTCTACGAATTCTGGTATTTTCGTATTGAACCCTGACGCATATTGTTCGCGTATTAATTCGTTATTTGGCGCAGGGTTCGGAGATAATTCTAGATATTTTGGTCCGCTTCCTACGATAGCTAACCATGATTTCTTGAATGGAGTATACACAGTGTATGGTTTTTGTTGCTAAATAGAATATCATGTCGGACATATAATTAGAGGCGTCTTTAAAGCAAAATATAATTTTTACATGCAATATACCTTTGTCAATACTAATCCAGGAGGGATAATACATTGATCATGCTCTAATGAAACAACAATATCACTATGCTCAGCGAGCGAACAAACTTTTTTATCACGCCTAGACTCATTGATCTGTAAAACAAACCGTTATAGATTAAAGCCTCACAAAAATTACAAAGGAAATACAATACACCAGAGGTTTCTTTTAAATACCTCGTACTCTATATTAGCAAAAAGATGACTGACATTAACAGCCTTACAATATTCAATAACCGTCGAAGGCACATTCCTTCGTAAGTTAACCGTACGCACAATTAATGGAATATTCAATTCCTCAAGTTTATCCTGCAAACTCACTAAGTTACGTAACCAAAAATCAACGCGTATCGGTGCCACATCATGCGCTTTCCATTCTTGTGGTGATATAATATAGAGCGCGAATAAGTTCTTGTTTTGTTTTGTCGCATGTTTTGAGGCTAGAGATAGCGCTCGGTTGTCTTTTAGTCGTAAATCGGTTCTGAACCACATAACACAATTTCCTATAAAGGATAATTTTTCTTTTTGAGAAGTTGTGTCGGTAACTGTTGATGGAGAAGGTGATGCTAGTGAAGAAGCGTTATTTGCATTTCGACTTTCTTTGGCATTATTACTTTCATTACTAATACCACGTTTAACCTTTTTGCCTATCACTTTTTCGGTAGTTGACGTTGAAACTGCTCTTTTTGGTGGCATAGTTTTGTTAGTACAATTAATAAAGCTAACATCAACTTTGTTTAATGGGAACTTTGTAAGCAGACAAGAAACTTTGGACGAGAAACCAGAACAAAGTATAAAACGCAATGAGAATCTAGACATGATAAACATTTTCCGATCCGATTCACCTCTCATTATTGAGAATCGTGACACAATTGTATATATATGACTGTATCAGAATGCAGGGGGAATTGTCCGATCATGTGATTTCCGGACCAGTGATCGGCTGATCTCCGATCCCAG